CTCCTGTGATCTTGTCAGTGACATTGCCTTTTGCAGAGCCCTGACTGAATTGTGTCTGACGCTGCGTGTGTAGAATAAAACCGAACCGCTCAGCAGTGGTCTCGTCAGATCCTGCGGTGTGTCCCTGTGTCGAGTGGCAGCCTGACGGTGGAAAGAGAAGGGCAGATAGAGCTGGAAGGAATATCGGAGAAAGTAGGTGGCACGCTTTCCGCTGGGGATTGCTAGAGAAAAATATTCCCAGCCATAGTTGCCACAAGAACTACTGCGCAAGATTACCAGTGTCTATTCAACGTCCTCAAGCTTGGGTGCTAATTTAACAACAGTTGACAAACTATTCCGTCTGATTGTCCCAAATCCAGCATTATATCTTTGTTGGCAGATTGCCTGGTACAGCTAGTCTGTGCCTTCTACTATCTATGTCGTATATAATGTTTATTTTGGGACTGTAGACAGATAGCTGTGCAAGGCATTATTTGGACACGGGTCTTACCTTTGTTTTCATGCCAGTCCAATCCACTTACACTTCAGTTTAAGGTTCTACTTCTGGTCAATATATTTTTAAGTAAAACTTGAATACATCTGCAGGAGAAACACGAGGAATTTCTTTAGCTCTTAATGGCGTTCCAAATCCAGAAGAGGAAGAGTTCAGGATATAACTGATGGTAGGACTGGATTTTAAAATACTTCAAATTTTAGTGGGTATTTTCAGGTCCTGCAGGACATTTATATAAATGTATAGGGAAGATTATTGGTTATCATAATGGCACCAATGCATAGGATCTAGTAATACGGCCATTTTACCTGTAGATAGATAATTTGCATTTCTCTTGTTATTATCTGAAAGAAAGGAAAAAGTGCCAACTCTGATGTTTTCTGAAGTGTTTTGTTTTGATCACAGCATAATAATCTTCATTATGTTGTAGTGAAACCAAACAGCTTCGTTCAGTTTTCGTTCAGCACAACATTTAGGAAAGCTTCCAGTATAACACCTTCACTTCATGTATTATTTACTTAGTGACTGATCTCTTGTTTCCTCATTATTTTGTTTCCAGATTAGGACTATGGTACCATAGATCAGCTGGAAGGGACCTTTGCACAGATACATTAGTGTCTTTTGTTGCTGTATTTTAATACATCTTTCTTAATGGAGGTTCCAGTGTGTACTAGGAAAGCAGTGATTGTTTTTGTGAGTTTATGTTTTTGTGAGATAAGATTTCTTGGTAAAGGCTTTTAGATAAGCACTGTACTAAAGACACATGATTGTAATACTGCCTTAGGTTGACTATACAATTACATAATAGAGTAAATATTATTCAATCTTAAACCAAAACTCCAGTCCAGTCCTTGATTGTTTATATGCTATGATTCAGCCCAAATCTTGCAGTAGTCTTTTACTTAGTTTTACCCAGCAACTATAGATGTTGAAAGTAAAACTAATGGGATGCTTATGAACAAAACCAGAATTTTCCAGGATATTTAGTCAGGGATCTGAGCCATTGAATTTTTTCTAAATAAGGTATATAGTCCCAAAACAATTCAGAAACTTGCTTCATAATTAGTCCTCAAATACTTTTTCTCTAATGCATTTTTCTGTAACATAATCTAAAAATACATGGCAGTCATGGGATAAAGTATTTTATTAATGCTTATTTGGGATGGCTTTGTAATGCAGCTGTGGCTTTATGAATTGTCAAAAAATTCCCATAATAGTAATGCTAATAAGATCACATTACCATGTGTAGCTTTTACTTTGTGTCCTAGGTAACTTATAGAAATGATGTGAGCTTGCCCACAAGCATAGCTTTAAATATCTCAAATTAATATATGTGTAATCTGGAATATGTTTGTCCCTTTAATCCTATAGGTTACTTGTATCACTGTGCTGTTTCAAAAATCAAAAACATAAACTAAGAGATTCTTCATACAAAAATTTCTTCATATATCTTTGATATAAGTGGATTTCTACCAGAGAGGGGTATAGTTGAATTAGGGAATATATGGAATAAATTTTTAAAGCTAGCATGAATGCTCATTTAACCTTCAGATGGGATTATATAACAAGTGATTGAAAAGAAAGCATTCTTAGTTTACACACTTTTTTGGTTAACTGTTGATTCCCAGTGCTTGCAACTGAGGTAATTGCATATCAGCTTTGCCCCTTTGCGTGCACTTGTGTGGGAGAGCCAAGATAGTATTCACGGGAAGATTTTGTAAACTTTTAAATTGTAACTTGAAGCCATGTATGGAAAGAGTGAGAGTCATAGCTTTTAGTTGGCAACCGTTAGGCAGCCATCTTCTAATACCTGTTCTCACGGTTTTTCTTTCCCGGTGTTGAAGTAATAGCAATGATAATTCTGAATTGTTGTTATTACTACTGTCAAATTACTTTTAAAGGGTTTATCCTGCAATAGTATTTTACCTTCTGTAGTATACCTAGAGCCCACTTATCTGAATTTTGCAATATTGCGAGAAGCTTGTCTTTGCTCATCTATCAATTCTAAGACATTCGGTTCTTGTTTGCTACAGCTTGTTCTTATTTATAGTTAGTATCACAGCGACGTGCAGGATATCAAACAGAACTTGGATTCCTTTTCAGCTGGATGGGTTATATTCCTGCCCTTAAGATTTTACATTCTAAACAGAGAAGTTGGACAAATACTAGGAGGGAGAGGTGGCCTAAAATGTTGCTATAGGCCAGTAGTACATGGGTCTTTGATCATTAGCATGCTGTACAGTGAATTTTCTTTCATCCTCAGTGTAGCCATTTGAGCTGCAGAAGCAAACAGAACAGCGAACATTGTAGCAGCCCCTTCTTTTGCAGAATGTAGAAGTGATGAAGGGGAATAGAACAGTAAACATACTTTGATCTGATATATCAAGCTGACCAAAAAAAGTATCGGTAATTCAAATTTCTCACTAGGGTCTAAAAAGAATGTTAATAAATAGGTGTGTGCGTAGATGTAGTGGAAACTTTCTGATTTTGGGGTGAAATGTTAGGGTATTAATTCGTACATTTTGCAAAAGGGACTTTGGTTGCATACTGGTGTCAGAACAAAGTTATTTTTGTCCTGTTATGTTTTTTTTTTTTTTAAGCTAGTACAGGCTGCTTCTTCATATAATGTGCCAATGCATAAGTCTCCATATAGGGATACTCAGTTCACAGACACAAAGATCTGTATCTAGCAAGACAGCAGAAAGGACTGGTGATATTCCTTTGGTACACCTGGTAGGTATGGACAGAATTAATTAACATAGTTTTTGCTCAAAAGTGACATGCCAGTCCATGAGAGCAAAAAGTATTTGTTCCTGATGACAGTCATTCACTTTCTGCTAGTTCAGAAGGCTTCCCTGAAGGAATTTTAATTGATCTGCACTTACCCAAAATAAATCAGAAACACTGCTGTATCCTAGAGATTAAAGCAAAAGAGGAGATATTGGAATACAGAGTATATGATTTTTAAGGTTTGCTTTGAGATGAAACTTGGGACATGAAGATGCTGACCTGCATTTATATGTGTTGAACTAAGAGGGAACACACGGATGAAGTTACAGACTCAAAACACATGAGACCAGCGAACAACTTGAGAAGCAGAACCTTGCTTTGTAGCCCTCTGCCCTGGCTGCTTTGGGACTGTGGACCAGGGAGAGGAAAGCTACTGCTGCTTTACAGTAAGACTTCGCTTTTTTTTTTTTTTTGTGGTGATGCTCTTTTGGAAAAGTCAATCAAATTTATTAAGCATGTAGTAAGTACAGAGAGCCATGGGAGTTCACTTTGCAGTTCAAAAGGATCAGGCGTGTACTTCAAATGCAAGTAAGACTAGACTGCCTGTGTACCTAATGTGGTAATTCTGGTTATTTTGTGGTGAATATCAGTGTAAAATGGATATAAGAATTTATTGAATTAACACTAGCATAAATGAATAGGGAAGAGACGAGACTGGTCAGCTTGGTTCAGACCACTGGTTAACCTAGGCCATTCTCTGTCTCTAGTGAAGGATCTCTTCTAAGGGTACCACCACTCTCCCTTTTGACTCATGAAAGCTCCTTGCATCAACAGCATCCTTGGGAAGAAGTTCACAGTTCTGTCACCCCTTTTTGTGGAAACTCCTGCTTCTTGTTTTGAACTTGACTTTCACTAGGCAGTTTCTGAGTTGAAGGGATCGGGAACAGATGATGTCTGTGCAACTTCTCCATCTCCAGGCTTTTGTAGTCTATCATGCCCTTCCTTAAGTTGTTTCTTTTTCCAGTTGGAATAGTTATGGTGTACTGAATTGTTCCTCAGCTGAAAACCATTCTAGGCCTTTAATCATGTATGTTTTCTTCTCTGAACCTAATTAGTTCTGTCATGTTGTGTTCTGTGCTGGCCACCAGAGCGGAGCATGCTTTTCAAGATGGGGATTAATACAGTGGCGAATGATGTGTTATGCTTTGTTCTTTATTCCTTTCCCACTAATTTTTAACATTCAGTGTATGGTTTTGATTCTGATGGAGTGATGAGTTAAGTTTTCATGGAGCTATCCATCATAAACCCCAGCTCTCACTTTCTGAGCGTAAGATATAGTGCAATAGAGAGCTGTTTTGTTTAACAGAGGATTCAGATTAGAATATTTATCAATAATGGGTAATTAAGACTGTTTCCAGTGAACTTGTGTTCAGCAAATTATGATTGCCTGCTTGAACCCTGCCAAAAGGATTCAAAATTTCTCGGTAGTGCAACAAAAATCATCAATAATAGGGAATTAACTTTTAATTTGTAAACTTAGACTTTTTAAAGTAATAAAATCTTGTTATTATCAATCTCAGGAGTGGAGTAGGTGATTACTTTAGATGTTTCATACAAAGAAAGATGTAACACTTGTGGGGTTTCTTCCAAGGTATGTAGTATGTGTGTGTAAGAATGCAACCCTGTAAATATACTGAAGTGTGTTTTAAAAAGGTGATTGTGATACCTTGCTATAAAACACTTACTGTATTCCTTCTCCTTCTTACCCTTAGATAATTTCAAGTAAAAGTTAAGGACCTTTTGTCCTTATCTGCCGTAGAAGTGACAGCTACTTCTGGAAGGAGGACCAGTTTGAGCAAAAAAGGAAGACACCGTTCCTTCTGACAGCGCAGCAAGGTGACTAAGTGACTCTGAAGAAATGTAAGTGATTTATAACCAAACTGTGGCTGTTTCTACTGTGGATTTATATGCTCTGTGGGAGGAATACAGCACCACGTCACTGAAACGTGTTGCTTATAGATGTAAAAGATGGTTTAGGAATAAATTTGTGGAGCATGCAGAAAATGCATAATCCTCCTATGTTTGTGTGATGGTAAGCTATACTAAAATTCTTATTTTTCAAATAGCAATTGTTAATGGAAATGAAGTACTGTAAGAGTCAGAAACCTGGATTTTCTACTCATCTAGATCTTTTAATTTAGATATGTAGAAACGAAATCTCAGTTAGCCGTCTTAGATTCTGCTTACCCTTAGGAGAGGAACAGACATCTCCAGAGGCTGATGCAACTCATCCTAAAAGTAATGCCTAGAGAATTCAGTAGTACTCCTTGAATAGCTTGTATCTCTCCATTGACAGCTAAGCTTTAGCTTAAGTGTTCAATGAACTCTTGAACCAGGCACGTCTGTGTAAGAAGCACTGCCAGCTTCTTTTCCCCTCCCCATATTGTCATCCTCCCTCAGCATGTGTAGCTCTTCATAAATTTGGAGAATGGATCTGGCTGACTACAACCAATTATTTGTATGGTTTTGTTTTCAGCTGGGTTTATCCCAGCCTTCTCCCATATGGCTGTCCAAGGGCCGTGACTGGTACAAAGGGTGGGAATTAGCAGCCAAAAGTGTGGCGGAGCACATGACAGCTTCTTTTGGCAGCTCTGCTAGTCTCTGCAGCCTAAAATGTTTGGTGAACTACAGTCTCAGACCCTGTAGATATTTTTAGCGCTCTGCCATTTCTAAGAGTGGAAGAACTTTAGTGAGGCACCCTTACTTATTATTCTAATGGGGAACTACTATGCTCTTGTGCATTTCACACTGAGGTGGTGCCCTGTCTTTTATTTCCTTTGTAAATTTAAATTCAGATCTCCAAACCCAAGAAATGGTCACAAATGGCTAGCAAGTAAACAGGTGTCTTACAGTAATTTATAGTGTAGGCATGATACTTTCCAAGTCATATATACATACATAATTTTTGAATCTTCAAAATGCTAGCCTGATTTTGTGCCAAGCACCAAGCATGATGTGTGGGTTGGGTGATATCGAATGATTAGTGGTTGGACTAATTTAGGCACAAGATCCTTGTCTCTCCCGAACAGTAAAATACTGAATAACATTTCATTCTCACATTAAATACCTGATGGGAGGATGTAAAGATGACAGAACCAGACTTTCCTCCTTGGCGCCCAGTGATAGGATGAGAGTACAAACTGAATGCAGATAATTCCATTTAGACGTAATATAAAAAAGTTCCTCACCTTGAGGATGGTCAGATTGCCCAAAGAGGCTGTAGGCTCTTCATCCACAGAGACACTCAAAACTCAATGGGTTATGGTGACAAGCAGCCTGCTGTATTTGACCCTGCTTGAGCAGAGGTCTAGACTAGACCATCTCCTGAGGTCCCTTCCAACCTCAGCTATTCTATGATTCTTCGGCTGGAACTCAGGAACAAAAAGAAGGCTTATAATCTTTGGAAAAAGGGCCTGGCAGATAAGGAGAAATACCATGAAGCGGTGAGGATATGCAGGGGGAAAATTAGAAGGGCCAAGGCTCAAGTGGAGCTCATCTTGGCCACCAATATTAACAATAACAAAAAGGGGTTTTTTCAGTATGTTAACAGCAAGAGAAAGGTTAGGGATAATGTGGGCCCACTGATGGATGAGGTGGGCACCCTAGTAGTGGAAGACACAGAGAAAGCAGAGCTGCTGAATGCTTTCTTTTCCTCAGTTTTCACTGTTAGGACTGCCCCTCATGAATCTGTGACCTTGGAGGCAAGGGGGACGGTATGGAGAGAGGAAATTTTTCCTCAAGTAGATGAGGACCAGGTTCGGGCCCACTTGGCCAAACTGGACATTCATAAGTCCATGGGCCCTGATGGGTTGCACCCACGAGTGCTGAGGGAGCTGGCAGACGTTATCGCTGGACCACTCTCGATCATCTTTGAGAAGTCGTGGAGAACAGGAGAGGTGCCTGAGGACTGGAGGAAGGCCAACATCACTCCAGTCTTCAAAAAGGGCAAGAAGGAGGACCCTGGGAACTACAGACCAGTTAGTCTCACCTCTGTCCCTGGGAAGGTGATGGAGAGACTCATACTAGATGTCATCTCCAAACAAGTTGAAGAGTGGGGGGTTATTGGAAGTGGGCAACACGGGTTTACCAAGGGTAAATCATGTATGACCAATCTGATAGCCTTCTATGATGCCATAACCGGTTGGTTGGATGAGGGGAGGGCAGCAGATGTCATCTACCTTGACTTCAGCAAGGCTTTTGACACTGTCTCCCATAACATCCTCATTGGGAAACTGAGGCAGTATGGGCTGGATGAGGGGACAGTGAGGTGGATTGAGAACTGGCTGTGTGACAGGACCCAAAGGGTAATTATTAATGGAGCAGGTTCAAGTTGGAAGCCTGTAACCAGTGGAGTCCCCCAGGGGTCAATACTTGGACCCGTGCTGTTTAATATATTCATCAGTGACCTGGACGAGGGGACAGAGTGTATCCTCAGCAAGTTTGCTGATGATACCAAACTGGGAGGAGTGGCTGACACCCCGGAGGGCTGTGCTGCCATCCAGCGAGACTTGGACAGGCTGGAGGGCTGGGCAAAGAAGAACCTCATGAGGTTCAACAGGGAAAAGTGTAGGGTCCTGCACCTGGGGAAGAAAAATGTCAGGTACCAGTATAGGTTAGGGGTGGACCCGCTAGAGGCAACTACTGAAGAGAAAGATCTAGGGGTCCTGGTGGACAGTAAAATGACAATGAGTAAACAGTGTGCTCTTGCGGCCAGGAAGGCCAATGGTATCTTGGGTTGTATAGGGAAGAGTGTAACCAGCAGGTCAAGGGAAGTCATTCTCCCCCTCTACTCTGCACTGGTGAGGCCACAACTGGAGTACTGTGTCCAGTTCTGGGCTCCCCAGTTCAAGAGGGACAGGGAACTACTGGAAAGAGTCCAGCGTAGGGCTACAAAGATGATTCAAGGATTGGAGCATCTCCCTTATGAGGAGAGACTGAGAGAGCTGGGACTCTTTAGTCTGGAGAAGAGAAGGCTGAGGGGAGACCTTATCAACGCCTACAAGTATCTCAAGGGAGGGTTGAAGGAGGAGGGAGCCAGACTCTTTTCAGTGGTTCCCAGTGAGAGGACGAGGGGCAACGGGCACAAGTTGGAACATAAGAGGTTCCACTCAAATATGAGGAGAAACTTCTTCACGGTGAGGGTGACAGAGCCCTGGAACAGGCTGCCCAGGGAGGTTGTGGAGTCCCCTTCCTTGGAGATTTTCAAAACCCGCCTGGATGCAGTCCTGAGTAACATGCTCTAGCTCTGGGCAATCCTGCTTCAGCAGGGGAGTTGGACTAGATGATCTCTATGGTCCCTTCCAACTCTAGAAATTCAGTGAAATTCAGTGAAATTCAGTGAAATTCTGGGAATATTTGTAGGAAAGCAAAATCAGACATGATTCTGCTATTTTATTTCGTGATATTTTAAATTTTCTTTTTTTTTTTTTTTTTTCCTATTTTGATGTATTTAGCTATTCAGTTTAGGCTTTTACTTAAGGTTTGGCTAAAGAGGGATGAGAGATGGCAGAAGTTGCAAGCTTTCTAAAATGTGTTAAATTATATTTAAAGACTTGTGAATATAACTATGAAAAATCACATTGCAGTCTGTGAAAATATTTTTTAACTATGAATTAGCACCATAATTCACGTGATGTGGACAGTCACATGATGGGGATTTTAGATGTTTAAATTGAGTATCTTTTTCATTTGATCTGTGGAAAGGAGGATACGTTTTTAGTATCATTTTGTGTTTGGAAAAAAACAACACCCCAAAAGACAAAACTAGGGATGAAGCCTTGGAGGAGAGATCCATTAATCCACAACAGAAATAGCTGTCTTCCTGAGGTCTTGTCAGAGGTCAATCTCTTGTCAGAGATCTATAAAGCGGCCTTACAACTTCATCTAAGCTCTGTTTTCAGGTACTTGCAAATGGCCATTCTGGGAGAGTCCATAATTCAAGTGGATGCCAATGTAAACATGTAAAAATTGGGCAAATATACAGTGTTACTTCACAATATAGTCTTCTATCTTCTACAAAGATGTGTTTCAGGGGCTTCCTTGTGTTTTGAAATACTTAGGAAAAAGGAACTCTCTCTTCAAATGTTAGTTTTCTTGAATTTCAACTTTGATTAGTTTGCCAGACATTTTTTGTCCACAGTTTTGCTATAGGCTGAATGTCTTTGCGAAATCTTCTGTGAGATGGGTGTATCATTTCTGAAAATAAAAAAAAAAAAAAAGTTCTAAAAAGGTCCAGGAAGGCTCCGCTTTGCTTTTGAGCAAGGACTTGAAATTTGAGAGTGAAGCTTTAATGGGTTATAAGATGTGCCTTTTGCTATGCCTCTGAATGTCTATCCTTATTGCACTGAATTATAAGCTTTTGAAAATTGCTGCTTACTCATAATCAGAAGAGGCATATTACTTTGTCAGCATATTCTCAAAATATTCTCTGTATATTCTTAAGCTCCTAGAGATGATTGAGTCTGTCCTGTCTTGGAGATCAAACACTGTATGACATTTCAAATGTACAGATCCCCTGTTATTTTAACAAAAGGGACTTGTTTTTGAATTTTTCTGGGACAGTGTATTTTGATTTTTATGCTTGTTGCGAATTCTGTTTTTCTGCATCTTACACTTATTTTTCCCATGGACTCTTTGAGAAGGATGTCAAGAGTGGGATTAATTTCCCCCTAACATTAGCCATCGAAAAACATAGGTGGTGTAAATCTGAGCTGGTCACTACAGACTTTCATTATCTCTCTCATGAAGAGAGATGGAGGCTTCCAGGGGAGGATTCCCATAGCCTCTTTTTATGCCTGTCTGAAGATGAGATGATTCATCTTTTGCAGATGCCTGTTTCTTGTCTCTGACAATAAAAGAAG